TGTCCCACTGTACGGGAGCATCCTCGGCTGCCCCAGTGTTTCCATTAGACGCTCGGGCTTGACCGAAAACCATTGATCGATCGGGTCAGTTTCACGCGAGACGAGTATACAAAGGCTTGCTCGGCCCGACTAAAGCATAGGAACTGACTCTGCGGTGATTTGAGGTACAATTCTCTCGCGGGTGGAATTTCTGTTTGCTCTCCTCCGTGGTTAGTCTAGCTCTATGCCGTCTGAATTGCAGAAGGCTAGATAGACTTTCGCCCCATTATACTGTTGGAAAGCTCAGAGCATGGTCTGGAATCTTTGTTACTTCATCCAGATGGTGAAGGGAAATCGTTGATAATCACATCTACGACTCCGTCAAGGCTGAGGACCTACCCTTCCAGCTCTGCCGAACTGTTGCTGTAGGCTGTGGCTCGAGCCCGGATACCCCATAGATATGCAACAGTCAAGACTGCCGATGTCCACGCCTAGTTCGAGCGCGCTGGTACAGATCACACCCAGTACTTGATGCGAGAATATCTGTTGCTCGATGCCTCGCCGACAATCCTGGGTATAGCCGCTTCGATAGGACACAACCTAGGAACGGGGAGCACTTCTAGAAGGCGATTATGAACTGCACTCACTTGCTCTTCCGAGCCTTTCTTCATCAATGCTCTCACTCGAGAGAGCATTATTTCAACCATTTGACGGTACCGAGCAAAACATATGGTCCTGAAAGAGAAGTGAAGCCGTCGAGGAGGAACAGCCTGGTCGCCATACCTAACGCCCATCTGGACCAAGGTCGCCATCAGCTTGGACGTCTCAGCCACGAACCCTGTGGACGTCTCCTGCCCAAGGCCAGCACTCGTGTTGAGGATATGAGCAGTGATCTTGTCCTGGCCAAGAGCTACATGCATGAGCAGCAGAAAGGGCTACACCTTCACAGCGTCATCTGTCCCAGCTTTTCCGGCGTTCTTCTCGCTGTAGTCGTTGGGTCGCCATATAACAACCCATCGAGGCCCTCGAGGAGCTCCATCGGCATCGACACCGA